TATATATATATGTGACATAAAAGAAATAAAAGTATTGCAAGTAGACATATCCATGTGCTCAATGTGGTATATTTGAGGTAATTTTAAAAACAAAAATCTAAAATTTTCATAACCAGTGTTAATAAATTTCAAATTAATAGCACATTACCTGTTGCTAACTGCAAGTTACTGGTTTGGTTTAATAACTGGTTTATGGCAAGTTTCACATCAAAAGAAACGTTACAGAAGTAAAGAGGCTGTTCAACATTAGAAGAATGAAGGCCAACAATGACGTGTTCTTCCTCAATAAAAAGGATAACACAACAGCAGTAAAGAATCAAGTTAAAAATTAATTATAGTATTTTCTGCTGCTCCAGTCCACTAACTTTTATTTGACAAAGTGATAAAGGCGGTGAATTAAGAACAAGATGAAAATAAAACTCTGATGCAAGCTGACAGCAGCGACCTCAACTCTATGTCGCAGCGACGGCACCATGCAGCGATGAGTCTAGGGGGTGTAATGAACTAATTAAAAGCTGAAGTGATTGATTACTTTGCAGATGAGGTTTTGTTTCCTTTTGTGCCTGTAAAAATATATTTAAAGGGCCAGTAAATCTGGTTCAGGGGGCGAGTAGTGGAAAAGGAAAAACAACATTGGACTAGACCTTTTCCATAGTATATGATCTGGGATAACACGGGTTTAAAATTTTCCACAATATTAAAAAAAAAAAAAGTGTCATATCGCAATACGATTGCTGTACAAATGTCATTCATTTATGTCCCCTTGTGCGCCTCTCAATGTAACAATCTGACAAATCAAACATGCAGCACTATCTGCTGTTTGACCCCTTGTGAATATGGAAATTGAAAAAATGGAAATTACCGATGCAGGTCCATTGCGGAAAAGGATAGCTTTAAACAGCTGGTTAAAAAGATCGACCAAAGATTAAGTTCCTTTAGTTATTGTTATATAAATATGGAGTTCAGCAGTTATTTTATTTTCTACTTTTGTTCTTACATTTGACTTGTGCTGTGTCAATACTGTTGCACTATAATGCATCAGGGACTGCAGCTTCATTGGAAAAGAAGAATGAAAAATACACTGCTTTTGTTTCTTTCATCATAAGAACCAGTACTGCAAAAAATGTGATTTAATTTTGAGGCTCTAGCGCCCACCCCTACATCGGACATTTGTTCATAACATGATCACTAGCAGATAATTTAATGTCTTACCCTCTGAAGTGCCTCCTGCTGCTCTGGGGTGAGAGGCGGCAGGCCAAGCTTGGAGCCCGTGCCCTGTCCATTCTCCATCGTCAGAGCTTCACCACCCTGCAGTCGAGAGAACAGAGCACTTTAAACAAAACACTGAGAAACAAGAGCATAAACCCCTGCACGTGTACACTGTTCATTCGCACTTAATTTCAATGAGAAATTACATCATCTCAAAATGAACAGGATATCGCTAAATAGGTCAACATTTAAAGGACATACACCCGGATTTTTTTTTAAAGCAGGCGGGACTGGATGGGCTCCTTACCTACGCAACCCGCTAATCGCTGGGTCCACCAGACTGAGGCGGAAAAGCCCCCAAGGGGATGAGCACTGATGGGGAAGCTTTAACAAGTCAACAATTTCTAGGGGAAATAAAAAACGTCTTCAGACTAACAATAACAAAAGCAGGGCGCTAGAATCATTTTACAATGAACTCCATCTATAAGCAGCCGTCTTTGATCAGATCTTTAGTGAGCCAGGGTAATGCGCATGAACGCTAGCCTCGCGTTGTATATACGTTAGCTGAGTATAGTAGTAGCAAGTGGGCTAAAGTTCAACCTTTCCCTAAGAACTTTTTAACTGAGGAATATATAAATCTTAACTGCAACCTCTTTGTTGCACTTGGATGACCTTACAACGGCACAATCAGTACAAGAAACTCCGCATTGATTAGCAAGGCCTGGTCTCTATTCAGATAGCGTTATCTTTGCTGCTAGCTGATATTAGCTAATGCTAGGCATTCATTGCTATGGCGCGTGAATTAATCTGCACGTTCCCCACAAGGATACGCCGTCAGATTTAAAGAACACACGGTGCACCTAAATACTAAGATAGATCGCATTTTACTTACGTAGCGACCGCTACAGCTGAAATCTGTTAATGTGCCTCTTTATCAAGGAAATTATTTACCGCAGTGTCCGTAACTGCCATGAAGCACACCTTCTCGGAGAGGCCCGCACACGTCAACGCTCGCGAGAATTGCCTGTTTTCAATGAAAGATATCGCGAGAACACTATTTCTCGCGATGTTGGGGGCGGGCGGGAGTTAATACGCATTTTTATCCATGCAACCGTCAGGCTATATTTATTAGTTTCTGTGACATTATTCATAATTTCATGTATCATATCCTTCCAATTGTGTTGTTTTTAGCGATGCTACTGTGAACCGAGGAGCTATTGTCTTGATGTGAGCTTCTACTCAGGGTTTTTTCTTCCAGTTCAGAGCAGAAATATTTTTGTTAAGATACTGGATGTTGTGTTTTTCCCCACAATTTTAATTATAAGCTAGATATATTTCTACTAACAGCAACAGGGATGAGTCAGTGAGTCAGTTGGGCATGTGAATCATGATTCATGAGTCAGTAAAATGATTCTCGAGTACTGAACGATTCGTTCATGGTTCGAGCATCACTAGTGTAGCTGCCTTCAGTTACAAGTTTCTGGGTCAATCTACAATCGGGGGACAATTTAGGTTTCAATCTGTAAAAAAAACCCCACACCCCTGAGGGAGGTAAGATCAGATAAATATAAACGTTATCCTGCTCCTTTTCGAGCATGTAAATTCTGTGGTATATAGAAATATTCATGGCTTTATTTTATTTTTTGTTTGCAATGTATTTTGTTGTTAATTTAGCTATATCGACATGTTTGAAATAAAACAGTCAATCAATCAAAATCCTTTATTTTATAATGTTATTTTATAAATTTAGGAAACAAATGATAACAAAATGAAACGATCATTTATTTTTGATCAGGCTTAATTTATAGTAAACAACTTTTGAAATACACCATGTCTAACTTTTCACTAGTCAACTTTTGTTTTTTTTCCAGTAATTTCAGCATTTATTTTCTAATCTTTGCTCACTATTCATATAAAAACTTTAATTATTAAACAGACAACAGATAAAACCCTTGCAACATAACAGCTAAAAACATTTGTAATTACTTTAGTCAAAAATTATACACTGAATGAGTTAAAATTAGAGTAACATGATTGAATTTAGCAACAATGTTAAAAATGTCACTACCACAAATCTGTTATTCTTAATAAATCATATTGCATCCTGATATTATGCATATAAAATGTTTTGTACTCTGTCTTAACGTGTCATGTCAACCCAAGATACTGCATAAATACTCAATTAAATTCACCATTCCTCGTTCCTTATTTAAATAAGTTTTTGGTAATGCATGCATGGAAACATCAAAACACACGCAGCATATTACATCTTGTTTATTGTCATGTATTTAATTGCAGTAGCTACAATATTTACCAAAGGTTTAAGTAAAACACATCCGAAGGCAAGTTTTATTCAACAGAGTCACAGAAATAAAAAAAGAAGAAGTCATTTGACGTAAAATAAGACTGATATGGAAGGGTTTGTTTTTTTTTCCATGTTTGCACAGTCTAAACATTCATTTTCATGGTCAGGTCCTCTCTGGAACTGAACTGTGACTGACAAAGGCAAAATGCAGTTCTGGACGGTTGCAGGCTTTTAAGACATGCAGCTTACTAGGATCAAACAAGAGCAATAGTAGCACTGCTTTGTGTTGTCCAACGTACACCTCTTTTGATAGCCACAAACAAATATGTACACCACAGCCTGTAGCAGGTGGCTGTCTGGGAGGCTTCAGGGCTCCTGTCTTCAGAGACATACTGATAAGTAGGCTCGACACAGAGTATAGTAAGTATTGTAGGCAATGACTGTACAGCAGTGTAACTGTTATGAAACTGCAACCTGCAAACAAATGACGCAGAGCTATGTAAAACGTGAGAACAGTATTTTGCTGATGATCACTACTGTTTTTTACTACCATTTTATTAAGGAGTAATCCACCCAAATGGCAGCTTTTTATGTTTCAGAGACCAGGTTCTTGATAAAAAAAAAAAAAAAAATCAGGCACTGATGCACAGCCAGCTCTATTTTTGTCTTTGTGTGGGTTGCAGTGCCATCGTTTTCACATTTCACACCAGAACTGTGTGAAATAAAACTAGAGTAGATGGGGTTCTTGGAAATAAAAACATGCAAAGGAAAATAATTCAGTTTCTCATCACCTGCTGTAGCATCTGGAGTCCATGAAAACCTCACAGGAAAAACAAATTCTAATGATTTGGGTGGATTTCACCTTTGAAAGATCTACGGAAATATTTACAAAACAAAATTCATGTACTAATATTTTCAAATGGTTTGGGAAATACAATAATAGTAACTATAGCAGGAATATTAATAAACAAAATGGCAATTTTTTTAATAATTAATTTTAACATCAGATAGTCACAGCTTTGCTCCTGTTTAAGTACGACTACGCTTTCAAATCACACGTTGATTTATTCCAATTTTTGTACACAGGCTACTAATATTGACGGCAGCAGAGACCATAACCATCTTATCCATAAGTCCAATAAAAAAGGCTGCAGCTCTTAATCAAGCTTCCATTACTCAGCCTCGACTTCCTCTTCACTTCCACACAGGCTGAATTTGTGGACTAATAACAAAGAATTGCAAAGTTGATCTTGTTTTAAGACTAAAGTCAACCTGAACGTGTTAATTAAGTTGTGGGTGATCCCATTTCACTGCCATAACAGGCACTTTGCAAGTCTTTGGCTTTCACGGTGGAAAACCTGTAAGAGCACTACAGGCTAAAACAGAGAGGCATCATCTCATTACTTATCACCTCATTCAGTCGTGGCTTGTTTAGCTGTGTGGAGATAGCGTTCAGTCGGAGAGTGCAGTGAGGTGTCTCACTTTGAAGGTGTAGGACAAAGAAAAATAAAGATTTGTGCAATGCATGTACTGTTCACAGTTAAACAGAAGAAAAAAAAGTCAGCTGAATGGGTATCAACAGTGCACATAAGACGGAATCTTAAATTCCCTAAAACTCTTGTGAACTGAAGGTTCTGGCTTGTGAGGGAGAGGGAGGTTTAATCAGCAATAAAAGTGTGCAAATGAGGCTTTGAGGAACAAAATGTCTGTTTGTATGTAGTAGTATGTAGTTGCTGCATCTGTGAGTATAACATATCTGCTCTGGATAGTGGCATTATGGAAAACCTAAGATTGTAAGATATCTTAAGGCATGATAGCCCTTTTAGGCAGGGAGTTTGTCAATCTTCCTCTGCTCTGTGGGGTTGCTGGACGCAGCCGTGATTCCTCTGGTCCTCCAACCAGAGGCGCCTTCTCACTGAGATGATTTACTGTCTGTCAAGGTGCAGCATCCATCTGTGTTTGTCCCTTTTTTTATTCCCCATTGGGTCAGCTCCCTGTACTTCCTCAGGTCCACGGCTGTCTCGTCCTACCCGCTGCCCTCTCTTGCTCTCTCTCCATCTGAGTGATCAATGCCCCGGGACCCTCCATCTAGGCCAGAGCCTGTCGGGACCCCTCCTCACTGCGTGCTCCCAGAAGCGAGTGCTCGGACCCGGTGTTGTTTGATGGCATTCTCCAGGAACCCCGCCACCTTCTCACTGTCCTCCTACAAAGCCACCAAGATGCGGTCAAAGTTTATTTGGGAAAAAAAAGTGTTAAAACTCTTCAAAAAACAAAAGATAAAAGAAAAGAAAAAAGAATAAATTACTGCTGTACTTGTTCCCAGATCATTAAAATGTAAAAACAAAGAAGCTTTTCCGTCTACCTCATTTATGAAGGCGTAGTGAACAAGTTCACTGGCGAGGTCTTTGGAGGTGTCAGCTGAAAGTTTCATACAAAATAATTCAGTTAGAAAAATA